CAGGCGCTTCCTGGCGCGTCGCTGCGCCCAGAGCGCTTCTGTGCCCCCAGCTGGGCCGCCCTTGGCCTTGGAACTCCACGCCTTTGTGTGCGAGCCCTGGGCTCCCCCCTTTCTCAAGCGTGCTTTGCATCAGTGCCCACAATCTGTCACCTAATCCCGGATGTCTGGAACTTCTTTTGCTTTGCTTTAGGAAGGCTGGGCCAGAAGGAGTTAACTCTTGAAGGGAATTGCGCTCATTTTTTAAATATGTGTACCCACACTTTTCTTCTTTCAGCCCAAGTGATAATAAAATGATCAATACTGCTATTGGCATTTATCTCTCCTAAAACAACTAGTTATCGCCCGAGGCTCTGACTTGCTATCATTCTCAGGAGAAAAAGAAGACTTGGTTGGGGTGGGCTGTAGGGTGATGCAGATTAGTGCTTCTTAGTACCTCAGTGGTATTGTCACAGTGCCTTGGTTGTCCCTTCTTTGTTTTTTCTGATTGTCCACTCTAATCGGAAGAAAAAAAATCCAATGACTCTGTAACCATTACCTGGTAACTGTCAGAAGGCCTACTGTAGGGGCAGGAACATCCTTCTTCTGCCATTATTCCTCACACAAATAAATGAATAAACGGGTGAAAAATGGATCCGGTATTATTAGCACACTTCTGTCTTTCCTTGTGTGTTTAACTTACAGGGATGTGGAGGCCTCAGTGGACCCCAACCCGCTGGTGGTATTCCTCAATCCTTGGTAAGCAAGCTGATCACTTTTGGCGGAGAGGATCAGGAGTCCTGGGCTGCTGTGAGGCCCTCCGAGTAGGAATGAACCCCAGGGTGGAATCCTGGAAGTGCCCAGCAATGGTTCCCATGGCCTGTGCCTGGTGCACCCTCTGGAGCATCTGGTTGGCATGGGAGTGAAACATGTCCTGAGTTTAGTTCACGTTTATAATTGAAGTGATCACTGTGGTGGGGGTTTACCCAACAACCCCGCAGTGGATTCTGAAATACCTGTAGAACTGGGAGGAAGTTGCTATTGCTGAAGGCCATTGTCTTTTAATCAACCAACTCCTCAGTGTCTCCTCAGTCAGTGAGTTGCCCATGGCCAATACTACCAGTTGAATATTTTGAGGAAACAGACATTCAGGATAAGTATAGGAAGGAGAACCTAGGTTTCTGCAGGCTTCTCTGTGCCGCCAATAGCCTTCAAGTGTTGTGAGTTTGTGCTGAGAGAAAGCAATGTCTCTCCTGCCAATGCCAGTGAAAAGTAGTCCTATCTTTGACACTAAACACCATCTCTAAAACAATTTCAGTCATTTTAACAATTTCATCATTGTCACTCAAAGGAGCACTTTGATAGGCAGCTTATATGACAGTGGTTTACATTTATTAATTACAACTAGAGGCCCAGTGCACAAAATTTGTGCACTTGGAGGGGGGGGTCCCTCAGCCCAGATTGTGAGAGGGCATAGGCCAGGCCGAGGGACCCCACCAGTGCACTATCCGGGCCAGGGAGGGCCAGCCAGGTAGGGCCAGCCAGGTAGGGACTGCAGGAGGGCTCCAGGGCATGTCCAGCCAATCCTGCTCAGTCCCGATCGGCCAGACCCTAGCAGCACACTAACCTACCAGTTGGAGCAACTGCCCTCTGGTGGTCAGTGCATGTCATAGCGAGTGGTTGAGCGGCCCTACCATGTCATTAGCATCTTACACTTTGATTGGTTGAACGGAGGCCCAGATGATGGGACACTTAGCATATTAGGCTTTTATTATATAAGAGATTATTTAGCATGTAAAGAAATTCTAACTGAATTTTCTTCTTAGTGAATGTTTCCCTGTTCTTTCTAAAACACTACATTTCTCACATGAATCATGTCTCTGAATTTCATGCCTAACTCTAAATTTAATTTAATAATGCATTTGTACTCATACAGATTATTTAAATGTTTAGAAATACATTGAAGAAAAGATAGAAGCAGATAGAGCTCTAAATGTGAACATTAAGAACTAAATATTTAAAGAACCATATATCCACAAGGTAAGGAATTCTTCCAGTTTATAAATATAATGAGAAATTCTTACATATTCAGATAATTTCTACTTGGATTTAACTTTATTTTTGGTAAAAGTAATTTGGATACTTTATGAAGTACATTTGGCGATACTTTTAAAATATAACCCTAGTGGGTTAGGATGAACTGCTATGTTCCAAAAAGAATTCATGCCTTTCAGTCCAAGGAAGTAATTTGCACTGAATGAAAGTAGTTTGCATTTATTTATTTATTTATTTTGACAGTAGAGCAACAAAATCTATTAGCAATCATGTTCAAGTGGACTAATGTCTAAGTCATTATTTCATTATTCCAGGTAGCAGTTTTACTTGTGCATATTTAATGAGGAATTCCCACTGGGTTTACAGAGCATCTGATCAAACCTGAGACATAAGTTTACATTTTCCAAAAGGAAGAGAGACTTTTGCTGCTGACTGTTACAGTGGCAAGTTATCTTGGAGGTTATGTAAGGCAACTGCCTCCACTTACCAGTGAGAAACTAAGAGTAGAGACCGAAGTGCTTAAAGAGCCCACAAGTGGCCAGCTCCTCCGAACCTAAATCTCTTCCCCCCTTGATTGGTGCTCAGTCTACAACACCTCTTAAAACCTATCCGGTTCAACAAATATCCATCGAGGGACCGTTGCAAAGTGCTCCGTGAGGGTCTCTGAAGGCGTATAAAGATGAATAAGCCATGATTAATGTTCAGAGCAGCTCATGGTTCAGAAATGGAGCCAATTGTCCCAAGAGATACTTGGAATATGAGCCGGAAGCTACAAGTATAGAGGGAAGAAAGCAAGAGAATGGCTCCTGCAGGTCCTCCAAGATTTGTGTCTCCAGTACAGCTTCACTCCACAGG